CCCAGCTGCCTGGAGCAGATGCTGCTGGTGCTGCCGGAGTGGTGGGAGATGGAGCTGTGGGGAGCCCCCGGGCTGTGCCGTGTTGCCGAGGTTCTGCTCTGCCGAGCGCAGAGCTGGGGGAAAGCTCCCAGCGCCAGGCACAGCCGTGCCCCGGCTCTCCTTCAACCAGCCCAGTGTAAACAGGAGATAAAAGGGCTGCTGTTTCCCCTGTGGGAAGGGGCCAGAACGTGGGGACAAGCAGATAGGGCTGTGCCTGAGACCTTCGGTGCCCCTTCCAGCTGCGGCTCAGGGCAGAGCCAAGGGCTGCGCAACAACCTCCAGCCCAGCCAGCCCAGCAAAGGGCAGAGCTCCCCACAGCACCAGGACACCCCACAGCTCTCTGCGAGCGAGCTCCGGGTGCTCGGGCGCCGTGTCTGGAGCTCTCGGCACCACTTTGTGGTTTTAAAACAGGTATTTGAAAAAATAAATGAGATGATTGATGGTGCCTAGGAAAGCTTGATACCTGGAATGAAGCATCTAAGTGACTGTAACCCTTCCCTGTCTCTTGCCCTCGCAAGGCAAACCACCTCCACTCCGAGGGCAGCAGGTCTGGAATTCAGCTGGCACATGGTCTCCATCCCACAGGGTCTTCTTCTGCCCATCAGCCTGGTCGCAGGAGCAAGGTGACGGAGGACTGCCCACCGCAGGACCCGCTGCACCCTTGGAGGAGGCAGCCAGCACTGGCTGCAGCGCTGCCACGCAGGACAGATCCAGCACAGCCATTCCCAGACCCCATCGGCAGCTGCGCTGCGCTGACAGCTTCCCGGGACGCGTCCCGCAGCGCTCACCTCGTAGCTGAAGAAGAAGTTGCCGCTCTGGTGCGCGAACTGCCAGAAGCACTCCATGGCACCGGCGGGGACGATGATGGCGAAGTCGTAGCGGTCCGCCCCACGGAAGAGGGGCTCCTGGCTGGACTCGCTCGGGGGGCCCGTCTCGGGGCAGGCGGCCCAACCGGCAGTGCCGGGTGCCCCAGTGCCAGCATCCTGCTTCCCAAACCTCTGGTGCTCCCTCCTGCCGGGGCAGGGCAGGAGCGGGGACCCGAGGCGCGGGGTAATCATTAACGCTTGGCAGCGGCACTCGGCAGCACCGGGCTGGTGGCGGGAGGAGCGCGGCACAGGCTCCGCTACTCAAGGTGATCTCGGTGTAGAGCAGGAGCTGGTCCGGCGCGTTGCGCCCACGTTGGAGTTTGCCCAG